ATATTCCTTTTAATGGCGTTTCATGCGGTCGGACGTTAATGAACCCGACCGTCGGCCAGCCTGAATTACGAGCGCGGGATGGGATTAACAGCATCGAAACTTGATAAATGATCTGGGCTTACGCGATTATTCCAGGATGGCGGACAACGGTGTTTGAGCTGGCGCGATCCGGGACAATGGTAGTTAAGAAGCGGCGGGGGTGTGTGTTGAGTTAAAATCCCTTTCGAAAACTTCCGAGTCACTTTGAAGACGTTGCCTTTGTCTGGTGAATAGAGGACTCGTGTAGCTAACTCCGGCGGGTAGCTATTATTTAAAGGCTTGTAGGTGCTTGATGGTCTTCTCGAGACGGGATAGAGTTCGGGAGCTGGGACTGGTAGAGTGGATCTTCCGAGGCTTCGAGGGATGATGATCTTCCGGCGTTTCCTATCGGTTGCTTCGGGTTCGAAGATGCGAACACTTTGTTGATTAATTTGTGAATGAAAATGGTGGATCTTGGATCTTTGGAAGTTGGGTCTTTGCTTGGGTTGGTTTGACGATGGGGAAGGAATGGTGAAACTTGGGATTCATCTTAGGTGTCTATTCTTTCACACGTTCGCTAGCAGCGTCACATATTTGTGACCGCCGTAATTCTATATTTTACATAATGAGAAGGAAATTTATAATTTCTAATAACAATATCTATAGGATTAATTTACAACTACGACATTATGTTTGTTATATTTCATTATGCTAATATCTTGTTTAGAAGATTTATTGGATTGAAGAAAAGAATTATAAATGAGGAGACCGTCGCCGAAATAAGCGCTAGTAGCGGACGTGTTAAAGACTTTTGTTCGGTTTAGGTTAGGATTAAGATTGATAATCATAAGAGTTTCGTTAGGTCAGCAATATTTTACATCGTGTTTAATTTTATAATACTGCAACCGTTATTATATGAAGTTCACAATATTAATATTGGCATAGATCAGTCAACAATTAATTCTCTAAACCTCTAATCCAATGAAACATTTTTATCTGATACTAACATATTAATTAATAAAAGTACTGTAAAATAAAAATGTGTCGTTAGATTAGAGTTTTAGAAAAATGAGCTGATTTATTATACTAATTAATAACATTAATGCAACGATTATAAAAAATTCAACTGATATTAGTATATTAATCAATAACATTAATTTAACAATTGTAGAAAATTTAACTGATATTAATATATTAATCGATAACATGAACGCAAGACTTTTAGAAAAATATTCATCGATCTGGATTTATTGTAAAATCTCGATTTCAAAATTCATCTGAATTCCTCTATGTTGTATTACCAAGATCAGCAATCACCGACCATGTGTTTGCTACTGTCGCCAGGGGGAGGAGAGCCAATACGACGTGGACGGCGTGTTCGAGTGTCTTCCTTGCGCGGAGGGCTGCGAGTCCTGCGAGGATGACTCGCCGTGCGTCGTGTCCTTGAACTGGCTGATGAGGACGGCGATCCTGATTCTGGAATGCTGCGTCATCGCCTGTTTGCCCGCTGTCGTTCTGTTTACCTGGAAGTACGGGAACGTCAAGGTACGTGGACACTGGTTGATCGATTGTCAATGTTACTCACGCTTCTCGAATTACGCCGGTAATAGATGTACTCGAATCGACAAACAAGCTCGTTGCTTTGCCCGAGCTTTTGTCACATTCGAAAAAACGAGGCGTTTGATTCGATTCATTGAAATATTTGCCTTTGGGTATTTGCAGCCTTGTTGAAGTTAGAAAATCATTCGACTCGAACTCACAATGGTTTATAATATTCTGTTGATATTAACCCTTTGAGTAGCAAACAGCGATATATCGGTTGTTCATGCACTTGCGAAAAGATTCTTCTTGATTTGATTAGTAATAAAGGGAGTCTAACATGTTTTTAGTATTGTGTAAAAATTGTATGAACTCCATTTTTTTTATTTATGAAATATAAATTATTTTTGTACTTTTTCTATTATTATTTGTGAAATATACATTTTTATTTATAATCATGCATCTTTCAAATAGTCTGGTATTTCTCGAAAATGTACGAAAATTTAACGTGGCACTCAATGGGTTAAAATTAATGTTTAATTAATATTATATTATTAACATTGAATGTACCGAAGCAATTAAACAAATCAAATGATCAATTTTTCTCACAGTGAAAATAGAAACGAAAGCAGAATGCAGAGTGTAATAAACAAATTTTTATAGTATTCCTAGCGAAAACTAGAAATGCTATAACATTCCTTCGATCTTTTATTTTCCTTGTTAATACAGAATTCGGATGTTTGAAAGATCGAATAATTTTAGGGTAGTTTCTTTAAGATTCATTAAAATATTTAATATTATAACTGGTGCAATATTGGAGCCTACAGAGTTCAAAGGGTTAACACTAGAACTACCAAGCACTGAAATTGACTTTTTGAAACTTCTCTATAGAAACTTCAAGAGTGCATCTATTGAGACTTTAATTGATTCGTTATTCAATTTGCATATTGCCAAATCAATTTCTTTAATAACTCCCAGAGGAGCATCTATTTTTTTAACCCTTTGCACTCCAACAGATTTCTACCAAAAATACCCAATACACCTTCTGATGAAATATAGTCAACATTTCATGAGACTAATTTAACGAGAAATCGTACAAAAATTAAAGAAAGAGGTTGTTTCATTTTAATATTTCACGTATTAATGTATCTTACGAAACTTGACATTATATGTTATACTTCGTAATTTTGCTCTACCAAATCAAATGGGGACTGAGAGGCGCCTATGTAGTGCAAAGGGTCAATAATCGCGAAAAAAAGAAATGTGTATTTTTAGTGTTAACGAGTAACTCGTCGCAAAGGCAGGATATTAAACGTGGGAAAACAAGAGAGAAGATTCTATTGATACAGTACACATTTAGTTAACGCGGTAGATGTGAATATCCGATACCGAACTTCAAAGGAAAAGCTCAGATAGGAAACAGTGTTTATACGAACCCTGTTTGTTGGTCCAACGTGGCCGATCCGCCCCGAAAATTATGCTCGTACGTTTCGCGACATCCTTTGTTGGATATTGTATAATGCGTTGACACAATCTCGGGAATGAGTCGACGCGAATTGCATGCATATACCAAAGGAAACATTAACATCGGATTCCCTCTTGGGAATTAATGCTAAAGTGTATTTATAGATATTCTATTTCAATTTGCGTCCGTTACACGGTGGAAACTTAAAGGTTTAAGCTGCTTCCCGGACACGTGGAAATTCTGTTTTGAGTCGCTCGAATATTTCACGATCGAATCGTTGGGAATTCTATTCTGGACGGTGTGTGTCTTTGACTGGAACTCCCTTGAATCTTTTTGCAAAGCACAATTATGTGAATCTGAAAATTTTATTATAAATTAGAAGCTATTTTATTATAAATTAAATATTTGTGAAATTTATTTCGCTTTTCAGTATTCTTCAGTTTTGAATCACGTTATTTGGTTTATTCCTTTTTATATTATCATTGCAACCATTTTTCATAGATTGTTTATTACTCAAATATATTAATACAGTTTTGAGTTCATTATACATAGAGAAACATCGATTCAACATTTGCCTTTAAGGATTTAAAATATATATTCTATTTACGATCATCCCACGTTCACTTATTATTTACTTTAACCCAATTATATTTCATTAGTAATGACTATAATAGATTCAAATCATTTGAAATTTATATGAATACGAATATTTCAATTAATAAATTTTCCCTAGAGAGTTCCCAAATATTTATTGTAGTTTAACTCATTAATTATCAAATTTAACCAATTTCTTTTTATCTTCCTTATACAATAATATTACTATTATTATTGTTATTATTATTATTGTTGTTATTATTGTCGTTGCCATTATTATTATTGTTGTTGCAGGTGTGATTATTAATATTATTTTCTAGACTAATTCTAATTATTACCATCCTATACTAACATTATATAATTATACAATAACCTCGTATAATTACATAATTACATTATCAGTAATCTTTCGAAGTGCACTGATCCCTTCCAACAAAGGCATTCTATAGACCATTGAAAAGAACCGGAGCGTTTTAATCTCACTCGAAGAAGTTTACATCGGCGACGAGTCATTCCGAAAGTTTCGATAGGAGAATAAGTGCCTTCCCTTGGGACTGTTCGAAATTAATTAATTTGAAGTCCGAGAGACGAGACGGACCGTCATCGCAATTCCACGCCAGGAAGCAAGGGGTTGAGGTTCGGTCCGTTCGTCTCGTGTTTCCTCGATGCAGCTTTCGCGTCCACGTCGGGAAGTTTGGGTGTAGTTTTCAATGGTAATCAATGCCACGCGATGTCTCGGTGGCTCGAATTACCGGTTCAACTTCGAGTGTGATTTCTTGACCCTCCTCGACGGTCACCAGTAAATACTGCCCTCGATTCGAAGATGCAAATTGAATGCCTTGGGCTTCCCAAATGTTGGATATTGAATGAAGCATAGTGAATTTAATTTACAATATTTATATTTATGTTTATAGTATCTAGTTTTTAAGCTTATTTTCTTTATCTCTGTTTCTTGATTAATGGACATTAATTTTTGTTGCATTCAAAGTACAATGGCTTCTTTTATGTTGTATTAATTCGAAGATGCATATTGAATGCCTTGGGCTTCCCAAATGTTGGATATTGAATGAAGCATAGTGAATTTAATTTACAATATTTATATTTTTGTTTATAGTATCTAGATTTCAAGCTTATTTTCTTGACCTGTTTTTTTATTAATGGACATTAATTATTGTTGCATTCAGAGTGAAATGATTTTTCTTATGCTGTATTGATTCGAAGATGCAAATTAAATAGTTTGTGTTTTCCAAATATTAAACACCACTGAATGAAGTATAATAAATTTAATTTACAGTATTTAAATTTCTATTTTTCGATTTTACTTTTTCCATTTACATATTAAAAGTAATAGAAATTAATATTTGTCTGATTGGCACCAAATTGGCTTCCGTTATACTGTGCTCGATTTCAGGTTTCAAATTCAATGCCTTGAATTTCCCAAATAATGAACACAATAAAATGAAATCTAATACATTTTATTTACAATATATCAATTTCCATTTATATGTTTCAATTATTGGAATTTAATTTTCGTTAAATTGACACTAAATTGGCTTCTGTTATACTCTACACGATTTCAGGATGCAAATTTTCTTGCATTACCTTGAATTTCCCAAACATTGGACGCAGTCGAATAAAGTATAGTAAACTTAATTCACAATATTTAAATTTCCGTTCATAGTATGTAGTTTTCAATCTTGTTTCTTTAATTTCTATCTTCAAATTACTAAGAATTATTTTTTGCTAGGCCCTCAGTAAATTGACTTCTGTCATATCCATAATCAAATCTATATCGCACTGTTCTCTACAATTTTCTTTTATTTAAAAAACAAATCAATTAAATAAAATATATTAAGCTTAAATATGAACTCACATTGATTCCTAATTTTGAAGCTCCTCTTCTTAATTCCTATTTTCAAATTACTAAAAATAAATTTTCATTGCCTCAGTAGCAAATTATTTTCTATTACATTCAGAATTAAATTCAAAATTCCCGGAAGTCTCGTTAACCACTCATTTCATACTTTAACCATAACAACCATAACCATAACTCATAACAAGTTCTAAAGTATTTAATTCATCTCAATATTACATAATCCCAGAACATGGTTTCCTCGTTTTACAGCAGAGTAGCCCTACATTATTTTCCATTAAGCGAAGCTTTAGTCCGTTAAAAGTCGCTGAACAAATATTTCCCAAAAATTCCTTTAGCATAACGTGACGCTTAATATTCGCTGAATATTCATACGAACACTATAAACTCTCGTAAACTCACATTTTATCCAACGCACCCTCGAAAGCACAAAAATTTCGCATTATCCGAGTGTTTCAAGCGGAACACTCCTCCGTATCCCCTCTCTGGAAAATAAAAAACCGAAGAAAAATAGGACACTGCACACCGTCAAATATTCCCAACTTAATAGCCAGACCGCAGGAAAATGCCACTTTCCATCACGCCGCGGAAAACTGCAATTCCAAAAAATCCGCGCGCGACCCAGCCGCGGAAATGAGTCGCGAAATTGTTCCCGAGCGAATGAGGTTCATTAGAAATCCACGTAAAGGGTTCGCGCTGTACTTTGAGTGAAAGAATCGACGTCGATGTTCAGCACTGTTCGAATAAAATTTCATTTCACTAGCCATAATGAGTAAGTAATGTATATTTATTGACTTTCTTCTTATTAACACTTTATTAGAAAATACATTTCTATAGAAATAATTGAATGCTAATATGAATAGGAATAATAAATAACAAATGAAACAGTAACAAATGTGTTTTTAATAAATAATAACACTTTTATAAATACGTCGAGATATGTAACAGATTGTATTTTGTATATTTTATTTTATATTTTGTATTTCATATTAACAGATTGTATTTTATTTATTGTTCAGCTAACAATTTTGTTATTCTGATATATTCAGATTATAGCTTGTTTTGTGTATTTAA